TAATACGTGACTTCCGGTGCGTTTTGATATTGAGGAAATACAGTTTTCTTGTAATTTATTAATTAGTTAAAAAAGTTTATGATAAAATAACGAGTAAATATTCCAAGGGTTATCTGAGCAGGAATACTTATAGCAAGATACATTAAATGTACAAGGGGGTCCGACCAAAATTTGTTGAGTGTGTTAAAAACTATTTACACTTAAGGCATTTAGCACCTGATTTGACATACTATTCCAGGCCTCCACAAGCCTATTGCTGTAGTTGTTGCTGCTGATCGATTTGCCTGATTGTCCTCATTTTAAATATTGTTTTGTCTTTCCTCGATCTTGTCCTGGTATCATGTGTCCGTGTAAACATTGTACTGTGATCTACGGTGTCTATCCTTGCTAGGATGGTGTATGTTGTATCAGCTAGGCTTGTCGTGTTCTCTCGAGTCGGCGGCGCAGTCTCTCTGGTACCTATTTTTCAAAAGTAGGGACTAGACGTGTGACCTTTATCCTTTATCAGATGTGGAGATCGAACCCCACCGACATATTCAAGGTGATATTTGTATAGTGTAAAAACATGGTCTCCCTGTGTGATAGCATAATGGTGATGGTCAGATTCTAAGGTGTGTATCCACATTGAGTTTTATAAGCCATGTGGTTGTCCCATTCACTGATCGAGTTGAGGTCTTCTCCATTGTTGTGTGTTTTGTAGATTTTTAGCCCACCACCATCAGATGGTGGGCTATTGATGATGGTTGGCTATTCAAATCACCCTTCATCCGTGGTCCGTATATGTCATTCCGTCCGACCGTCCATCCTTAAACAATTCTTGTTAGCGCTATATCTCAGACAGTGCTGGAGGGATCTTTTTCAAATTTCACACGAAGGTTCCCAATGGTCCCTTGACAGTAGTTGTGTATATCAAATTTTGGGACCGATCACAACACCATCTTGAATTTGAGATATAAAGTTTATTAGCGCTATATCTCAGACAGTACTGGAGGGATCTTTTTTCAAATTTCACATGAAGGTTTCCCATGGTCCCTAGTTATGCATATCGAGTTTTGGGACTGATCACAAAAATAAGATGGCCGATAGGCAGTCATCTTGACTTTGAGTGTTTAAGTTAGGTAGCGCTATATCTCTTGAAGTTCTGGAGGGATCCCTATAAGAGTTCCCTATGGTCGCTTGTTATGCCTATCAAATTTTGGGACTGAAGGGAAAACCAAGATGGCCGACATTTGGCCATCTTGAAATTTGAGAGTTTAAGTTTGTTAGCAGTAATTTGCAATAAGTACTAAAGGATTCTTTCTCATATTTGATATGTAAGTTCCCCTTGATCAATAGTTGTGCATGTTTGCTTATAAGACTGATCGGATAAACAAAATGGCGGACAGGTGGCCATCTTGGATTTTAAGAGTTAAAATTTGTTATCGCTATTTCTTAAAATGTTCTCAGCAGATCTTTCTCAAAGTTAACCAAACACGTTTATCGGGAGGAATTTCTTGTTTTGTTTGTCGTGGATGTACAGATTGTCAAGCTGACTTGCTAGCGGCGGAAAATACAAACTTCTGCACGTGCGTAAGGACAAAACTGTGCACGTGCAAAAACGCATTCACCCATCAAGGTTGTCAAGGAGTGTACACATTATGTTTGTGTAAAGATTCATATTGAAAAATTCATTTATAACGTTGTAAATTTTATTTTTATGTACGCAGTTTCTCTTTTTGCGTTAGTATATATTCTAAATTTTGATTATATACTAAATTTTCATTTAATCTACTATAGATGATACTATCCCTGTTAATCTTAGTGACTATGGAACGCCAAATTAACATATATTCAATTAATTGTAACTATCTTCAAATAATTGTACCTATCTTCAATTAAATTGAACCCATCTTCAATTAAGTTGAACCTATCTTCAATTAAGGTTCAACAACCCCCTAAAAGATGACGTAGTCAACTAAAATTCCAACCCCCTGGTAAGTCATGTTCAAAGACCTCAATTACAAATCGGAACTCACATATGTTATTTATATATATTGAACTTGTACATTGGCCATACAAAAAATACATAGCCAGGTTAACGTAGTCAAAAAAAGGCATTAAGGCTGATGTCTTTCTAAAAATAGTTCACCGGACTTATAACATGTCAATCTCTTTTGCAACCCTAAAGTTTATTTACATACCTAGGTCATGCGGAGCTTTATTTCTCTTCTACTAACTGTTGAGAGGAATTTCGACCACAAATAAAGATAGATGTTGCCATGCGAAATCACTAAAATCATAATAAAATCTCCTGGTAATACATTTTAGCAAATTTTAAATAAGAAAACAATGGCTAAGTAACCTTGATCGATAAATGAACTTGAGATGATGTGCCATTTGATAACATTATGTGATTATATGAATGCGCTAGACATGTTATAAACATTGAAGCTGAAAAGTACAATAATGTTTACAACAAGTCTAGCTCTTTTATTACAATATTGAATGTGAAGGAAGGACATTTTATATGAAGTTTAAGTAGTATTTATGGTCAAATGTCTATGGTTATACACATATATACCATTAAAATATGTTACTCTGACGTTTTACTATGATTTGTACATTCCCATAGCAACAATCATCTACTTGTGAGGCCGGTTTGCCTCTCCACACATAGTTAAAGAGAAATAAAGCCCCGCTTGACCTAGGTTTATAAATGATCTTTAAATAACATATAATTTCGAAACATTCAGTTGGGTCACTTAGGAGATTGACATGTTATAAATCTGGTGAGCAACTTTTATCATTACATCAGCCTTAATGCCGTATTTTTGACTTTGTTGACCTGGTTATATACCTTTTTAATAGCCCATGTACAAGTTCAATGTATTTAAATTACATATATATATTCCGATTTGTGATAAGAATATTTGAATATGACTTCCATGGGGTTGAAATTTAGGGTGACTATTACCTCTTTTAGGGGGCTTGTTGAACCTTAAGTTGAACCTATCTTCAATTACTTGTTCCCATCTTCAATTGAATTGAACCTATCTTCAAGCAATTGAACCTTTCTTCAATTAAAAAGGTACTATTAATTGAATATATGTTAATTTGGCGTTCCATACGTGGCTGCGAGGAAATGAAACTGGACTTGATAGAACTAGAGATGAAAGTAGCCACTAGAGACAGGCTCGATCAGTCCTTTTATCGTGTGGTATTATTCTTTTCAACAAATAATTTTAACAGAGGTATACATCTAACGAATTAAAAATGTTGTTGACCTCAGTATTGTGCTTAGAAATTAATATTTTCAATAATGTTGTTGATTTTATCAGGTAATCCACTGTTCTGTCGTATATGTTGTGAATTGCGGATTTTTAAATTAATGTATAAACATAATATAAAATTAATGAAAATTTGATATTTGTGTAATGTTTATGTGACTATCCGGAAACAAATATATAAGAACGTTAGTGGGAGTTTCATAGTTTATTATAGGTTGTTTATGTATTTATGCTGGAATTGGCAGAGAAGTTGCGATTGCCCCGAGTACAAGTGTACTGATGTACCTTAAAGTCACATGGTAACCAAGGTTACCAGATCCTGTGGAGAGGGCGCAGTTCTTCGTAACTTCCAGTTTATTATCATTATCTTTTAACATTACTCAAATACTGCAAAGTAGAAGTTTTACTATCCATTCATGAATTAAATAAGTTCTATTGACAACTTACCTTGTTAAATGGACATTTTCTGGAAAGGTCCGACACCTAATGGAAACCTGTAGGGGGAAGAGGTCATCGGAATCCTTGGTCAGTCTGAATTTTTCTCATGAATGACATTAACCATTTTCTTCTATCTGAAACCTGTTTTATATACAGTGTATTGGGTGATATCTATACTAATGTGGTCTGTTTGTGATGTAATGTCCTGTTTATAGTTCTAAAGTCAATTTTGTGATTTTGCGATTCAAACATGTAACGTTTTCACATTTTCTTTCCAACACGAAAGATTTAAATATTTCTATCAAGCGAATCAATACCAGATGACAAATTCCTACTAAACAACAAGCCTAAAGATCTTAAATGAATTAAAAAGTGCAGGATACCTTTATAAGCTATAAGTATAAGATATTAATAGTTAATATTGTATGTTATATCAATCATATAAGATGCTCTCCTCACATGTGGCTGAAGTGAGTTCCAGGTCCTGATTTGTTTTCTTATTTATCAAAGTTAATTTACAAATAAAAAATGGCATTTGCTACCACAACTAAGTAAAATGATTAGTTTGATATATGAAGATTGATTTGCTGGTAATTTTAAGTCTCCTAGTCTCAAATAGGTATCTGTTTTAATCGTTAAAGTTAACCCATTTCATTGTTTTATCAATTGTTCTGCCTATTTCCAATCTTTATGCGCCGATTGTACATAAAAAGCATTTTGGGATAAGCATGCAACTTGGCATAGATATTAGTTATATGATGAAATTTGATTTGTTAAAGTTTCATACTTATCCCACAATGCCTTTTACTTAAATTACTCTTTTTGCTTGTGTTTTGGAAAACAAGAACTGAAGTGCATCTCCTTGCTCAATACCAACTATTTCCTTACAATACCAGCTTATATGGACGTATGTTGATAAAACAGGCTCAGTAGACTGTTGACAGTAGTCAGAGGTGCCTATGACATTCTAGGCTGATCAAAAGCCTAACATTTCATGCTCTGAATTTGAAAAAAACTTTTTGCACCTTCACTTGAATCCCCACTACCTGAGAATGCTTCCAACCAAATGTGGTTGATATGCATCTCTTAATTCCCAAGAAATGCAACAAAGCAATATAGCCAAGTTATCCACCTAGGGAATTGCTTCCAGTCTAATCTAGGTAAATTCCAAGCAGCGGATACGAATAAGTCATTTGAAGAAATTGTTAACATTCCGACAGCGAACGCCACGGTATAGGCATAAGCTCACCTTGGTCCTTCAGACCAGATGAGCTAAAAGGAACTAAAAGACAGAAAGGTTTCTATAATATTTTTATTGATACATGAACCACACATAGAGTATCACAGTTACCATGGCAATGGTACAACAGTCTGCCATTTAGCTGAAAAATTTGTATAAAACCTTGTTACAAGCAATTCCAGACTCTCGAAAGACAAATTGCTAACCCTTCATCATATGTCACCCCTTTCTGTATCAAATTTGAAATAATTACATGTTTATCACCACATAAATCACTTCTGGTACAACATCATATCTCTAATATACGGTCGCTGATCCGCTTCATTTCTTCGAGGCAAAAAGACGAGATTGAGTAAATTTCAATCCTTTTTTCCACTTTTCAGGGCAAAAAACAAAAGAATGAGAGTTAAGGTAGGTTGAATCTCGTCTTTTTGTGGCTAAATTACGAAACAACAAGAGTTAAACTCCAAACCATCTGGACTTCAATGTCTACTGGGTCTTAAACCATTTGGGTTGCATGGTCAATTTATAGTCTCGCAACGCTGGACCATACTGTAACCTCAGCCGATCTACAGCCTCAAACCCTCTGGGCAACACTGTCCACTTAGAGCCTCAAACCCAGCACCTTGGCCATATTATCCACATACAACCTCAAATCATCTGGGTCATCTTGTCCATTAAGTCTCAATCTGGGACACACAACCCGTAAAGGGTTGACAATCGTTCATCATCTTGTATCCTCAACAAATGCATGAATATTACATATGTGTGAAGAGAATGAAAAGTTAACATGAATACAAAAATAAAAGGCCAAGAAGGCCTGTATTACTCAAATGGATATCTAAGCAGTTTTGGCAAAATATTCTCCCTTTAATTTATATTGGGAATCTCTGGTCCAAAATATTCTTCATAGCAAAGCTGGTAGAGATCAATATACATGTTTATGAATATATGGTAATAGGATTGGGATCTTAATTGTTACAAACACAAGTGTTACGCCTATCGGACTAAGTCTCCAGGTCCAGACCCAAGATCTTATTATGCTGGTAACATGATCGTGATAATGTCCAGTAAGCACATATATTGTTATGGTATTGGCATCCCATCCATTTTCACATGTTATGATCTTGAGAATAATTTCACATGGGGCTTATGACTTGCTAAATATCAGAACCCTTGGACTTTAAGAACTTCAAAAGAAGATATTTCTTTACCCTTTATAGCCACAGGCATTTGCTTCTGTCAATAAAAAATGGTACTGACATTAAGAAGTTAAACCCTACTCATATTAAATACAAAAAGGTACTATACGTGAAAATAACATGTCTGTAATCATCAGTTCAATTTCTTGTCCGATATCAATCTCACTTATCTAAATCGCCAGAAACCTTTATATCATTAGAAACCAAAGTAAATCAATGTCACAATCATATATACCAAACTAATCAATTAAGTGGGTTTTTTCAATTTTTGTGTTAAGACATTTTTTGTATTTCATGAGTAGGGTGTGACTTCTTATACAGTTAGGACAATTTCATTGACAGAAACAAATATCAATGTTTATAGCCCATGTTAAACTCTGACTTCAGTCAGCACTCAAAGCTGACCTTTGACCAAAACACAACATATTGAAAAATAAAATAAACTGAAGTTGCTAGTCTATATCTTATAGCATTGCTCTAGAATTGATAGTTCTTTAGAAAATGATGTTTGATATATTTAACATATATATGCCTGTAACATTTAAAATAAATGAAGGCCATTTATATGAGGAAACTTTGAAGACTCGTCCAAGGTACCTACTGCCCAAATATCAGGATCCTGGGTCTTGAAGATTTCAAGAAGTTTTTCAAAGAAGAATGGACAGATGACAGATGCTGCACCATACCGTAAGCTTACTGGCACATCGTGCTAAATGAGCTAAAAAAATTGATGCATTTATGAAATATAACCATTACACAAAGTGAATTTTACTGAGTTGATGCCATATACCACACAAAAACAAATCAAGAGGCCCAGGAGCCTGGATTTAAAAAAAATGAAAATCTGTTGAAAACTGTAGATATACATCTAAAGGAATATATGCTGACAAGGACAGAGTCAAGGTGTCAGGGTGACGCATTAGATAGCACTACCACCTTTTACCAGACAGCCAGATTTAGGAGGGGGGACAAGTTTGAAGGAGGGGATTCATCTCCTCCATCTATTTGTACAAGTTTGAAATACCACCACCTGAAGATGTTTCCAGTAATCAAATCTGATGAAGTTCTGTTCACAATTTGTGGCAGAGGTCACCTTGGTGATGATGATGGCTGTACTAACAATCACCTTGGTGATGATGATGGCTGTACTAACAATCACCTCCGTGGCATTTAAATCAAGTGAGCTTAAAACAAACAAACTGGCAAAATATAATCAAAGAACAATGAATGATGTATACTATGTACAATTAATGTTGGGCCACATCCATATACAGTTGGTCAGAATTGACTTGATAGATACTGGGGCACAACAATACATATCCCTTCCATTATCACCTATGTCCAGGATTACTACGTACATTTTACAGTGAAAAGTTCCTCCTATACAGTAGATACATGTGTGTAAACATGATCTTACTTTGCCAGTCATATAACAAACAATTTGATCCTACAGGTAATAACAAAACATGGGCTGGGAGAAAAGGATTGTAGGAAACCGTAGCATTACCTGTGATCCAATCTATCTTGGTTTAGATAACGTCTTGCAGTTACAGCACATAATTTTCTTATTGTATTAAAAAAAAAAATAGTCATCATAATGTTAAGACAAGCTTAAAGTTAATCATTCTTCAATAAATGTTATACATGTCAAATTAAACAACTCTGTTCACTTCATCATTTCTTGTAGTAACAGCAATCTTTCATGACAGTTTCATGATTGTGATCATAATTGGGGATCTGTGATTTATATGGTCTCCTGATCCTGGTCCTCAAGATGTTTGTTGACGTGGTATTGAAATTCGTTGTCACTTGCATTCTCTACAAGCTTCTGGCAGATTGGGCAGATATTTCCAACATGTCCCAAAACGTGATCATCAAAACTCTGAGCGTCAATATCAGCTGAGAAGGATTCACTGCAGACCGGGCAAATCTTCATAGCCTCTCCGATGGCATCCTCAAATCTGCTCATCACAAAATTCACTGTATTAGTCTAATGGTCATGTAAAACTATTGAACAGATTGTAATATTAAAACACTGACAGGTAAGCAAGGGTCCCACTCAACCAAATGTACTCTGTCAAAACCTAGCACAAACCACAGCAATCATCTAGGAGAAAATGGGTAATAAAACTGTATTCACATAGGCTAATCAGGCTACTTGTAGCAAGTAAAAATGACCACTAAGTATGAACAAAATTGTACCCAAGGAAACAAATGTTATAGCTGTTATATCTCTCTCAATCAGAAGTGATGGACAGTTGGCCATCTTAGATTTTGGGATATTTATAAATAAGGCAGGCATCAGCCGAGCAGGGCCTAAACCGTCTTGACTTTAAACAATCAATTTTATCAAATATAACACTGCATATTTCTCAAATTTAACTCTGTTTCTCGGCCTCCAGGAGGCAATACCCTTCCTTCATTATATTCTCTGGTCCCACGGATGCCTTACATGCCTTTTGCCTGAACACACAACTGACTCCACCTTGGGCCAAGCTATCAGTGGAACTACACTTAATTCTTCCTTTACAAACAATTGATTCGTTGGTCAAAGGGATCAAAGATGTTTCATATATAGGAAACTTTGTACCGTTTCCATGTTATCACTCGGGGATTAATTCTCCAGTGCTAAGTTTGGTACCCTGATTGTGTGTTCATCAAATCATACCAAGCAAGCACATATTGGGTTATAAGGTGGGTATCTTAACTGTTTCCATGTTATGGTCCTGGGACCAAGAGCATGGCAGGACACAGGCAAATTCTGGTAGAATGATTGTGCTTTAGATATTGGATGTTGATCACATCCATTATGACCAAGAGACTGGGATGATGCTAGATTTTTCGGTTATTTAAAGTCTTTCCATTCTGCAGAAGAATTTTTACAAATCTGAACCCTGCAACCTTGAGTTTATATCAAAGTAATTTCCTTTTGCAAAATTTGTAGCATCATTGTCAGAAAGTTCCTGCTTAAATATTATTACTCTAGATCGTCATGTTCTTCAAGAGCAGATGTTAAGATTGATTTAAGATTAAGATACAAACATTTCACAACTTGTTGCAAAGCATCTTATAGTGGCCTTGTTTATGGAAGGTTTAGTTTTCCTTTGCTTACTTTGAAGAACATGAAGTAAGGGTGCTACTTATCAACACCTATCAAACACTCATACAACAAACACACACACCAGATGTCTTACAATTACACAAACACACACAGAAACACCAGGTGTTCCAACAAACACAGAAACACCAGGTGTTCCAACACATCTGAAAGACCAAGTGTTCCAACACATACAGAAACACCAGGTGTTCCAACACACACAGAAACACCAGATGTTCCAACACACACAGAAACACCAGGTGTGCCAACACACACAGAAACACCAGGTGTTCCAACACACACAGAAACAGCAGATGTTCCAACACACACAAAAACACCAAGTGTTCCAACACATACAGAAACACCAGGTATTCCAACACATACAGAAACACCAGGTGTTCCAACCCATACAGAAACACCAGGTATTCCAACACATACATAAACACCAGATGTTCCAACACCCACAAAAACACCAAGTGTTCCAACACATACAGAAACACCAGGTGTTCCAACCCATACAGAAACACCAGGTATTCCAACACATACAGAAACACCAGGTGTTCCAACACATACAGAAACATCACGTGTTTGAACACATACAGAAACACCAGGTGTTCCCAACACATACAGAAACACCAGGTGTTCCCCATTAAATGTCTAACAGCCACATGAGATGTCCAGGCAAGACTTACTTTTCTTCCAGTTGACCAGCTGCAGGTGGTGCTGAGGGGATGACATTGTCCGTTGTGAACTCATTCATCAATTCACCTGGAGAAAACACCAGAGCAACAACATCAGGAAAACTCTACATGTTTAGTAACTTTGCTATCACTAAAGAAGGGCCAGGCGAGCTAATAAAACCAGGTATTTAAAAATAATCAAAACTAAATAAATCATCATTATATCAGGTGATTGCCTAAAATCAAACTAGATTTAATTCTTAACATTTCACTTCCTGAAAGCCAACTGTGCAAGGTAAAAAGCTTTTGACTTTAAAAAAGTTTTAGTCTGCTTGTGAGATGTACCCAACTGCCTGTCTCTTTTAGCTATGTATATAAGCCAGTGCCGACATTTAGATTCCTGCTTTGGTAGGATGTTCTTGTTATGATATCCAGCTTAAGCTTCAGCTCATTTCTTTACCAGGCAGCATTGTGTTTCTATTTTTTTGTGCTGATTGTGAACTGAATATTTCTTCTTGGATTATTCTACTAATATAGTGGACTTATTTGTGATAATTATGTCTCTCATTTGCATAAACTTCAACTGATCTGATAAAATGTTGGTAAAAAAAAGATAGTTTACTTTAGCACATATGATAACATGTTTGACAAGTCATGTACTTTTCATACCCTGGGAGGTTTTACTTGTAACCAACCTGCATCTCAATAGCATTCAGAACAGCTGAACATGATTGTCCAAATAAACAAGAGGCCCAATGGGCCTGAATCGCTCACCTGGTATTAATCTCACACTTGTAATCTTAATAGTGGACTAAATAACAGCTACAGGCAGAATATCAGTGTTTGATTCATAAGAACCTATCAAAAGATTTAAACATATGACGCCTGTGACCTCGAATGTCGAACAAGGACATTAGGTTGAAAGTTGGTCAAAGTCATTCATTTGAACAAACTTGGTAGCCCTTTATCCCAGCATGCCACAGGCCTAATTTCAGTACCCTTGGCCTTTTGGTTATTGAGAAAAAGTTGTTTGAAGAATTTAAGACATTTTACCCCTGTGACCTTGAAAGTGGGTCAAGGTAATGAATTTCAACAACCTTGGTAGCCCTTCATCCCAGCATGCTACAGGCCCAATATCAATACCCTCCACCTTTTGGTTATCGTGAAGTTGTTTGAAGATTTTAAGACATTTGACTCCTGTGACCTTGAAAGTTGGTCAAGGTCATTCATTCAAACAATCTTGGAAGCCCTTCATCCCAGCATCCTACAGGCCCAATATCAGTACTCTGGGCCTTTTAGTAATTGAGAAGAAGTCGTTTGAAGATTTTAAGATATTTGACTCCTGTGACCTTGGAAGTGGGTGAAGGTCATAAATTTGAACAAACTTGGAAGCCCTTTATCCCAGCATGCTACAGGCCCAATATCAGTACCATCAGGCCTTTTGGTTGTCGAGAAGAAGTTGTTTGAAGACTTGAAGACATTTGACCCCTGTGACCTTGAAAGTTGGTCAAGGTCATTCATTCGAACAAACTTGGTAGCCCTTCATCCCAGCATGCTACAGGCCCAATATCAGTACTCTGGGCCTTTTGGTTATTGAGAAGAAGTCGTTTGAAGATTTTAAGATATTTGACCCCTGTGACCTTGGAAGTGGGTCAAGGTCATTCATTTAAACAACCTTGGTACCCCTTCATCCCAGCATGCTACTGGCCAAATATCATCAGCCTGGGCCTCTTGGTTATTGGGAAGAAGTTGTTTAAATTAAAAAGTTGACGCCGGACGGACGGCCGACGGCCGCCGCACCATGCGATAAGCTCACTTGGCCCTTCGGCTTGAGCCTTTGTCAGTCATGTCCACTGTGACATGTTTTAGAGCCAGGGTGGTGCCAGAGCCTTGGTCAATCATGTTCACTGCGACATCTTTTAGAGCCAGTGTGGTGCCAAAGCCTTGGTCAATCGTGGATAGATTTGTCTCTTTATGACTGTTGTGTGTATGTGGAATTCCTCGACTTGAATATTACAGCCCCAGGGGTCGTACCATTTACACCAAATATCATCAACTTGCTCTATTGACATATTGACTAACCAGGCAGCCATTTAGAAAGAGTAGGATTTAGTGGCAAACAAATCCTAAGTTCAGGTTTTAGCTGTCACCCCCTTTGACCCAAGGATAGCCAAACTGTTTATACCACGTGAGTTCCAATGATCCAAGAATTAGCTCCAGACAAACTTAAGTCAATATCTCTGTATTTGTAAGGAAGAAATATGATTTTTAAAGAGTTACCTGTTTCCCCCAATGGGAGCCCACCTGTTTGCTCCCAGGAGGTAGCTACATCCTTACATAACATTGAATCCCCTTAGCTACCAGTCGATGCTTCCTTTACCTCTTTTTCTCGTATTGGACCTAGGATTTTAAGATGTACTTCTGTTGCCCTATTTAGCCCAGCACATTTGTCCTCTAAGGGGCTAAACCTTCTGTTTATATGTTTTTTTTAAAACTAATCCATCACTATAAATCATTTATTTATTTTAAATATAAAAAGACAATTTCCTCTTCACCCAAGCATTCTCCAAAGCAATTCATGTTAAAATCCCTTCATCCATATGGAAAAAGAAGGAATTTCCTTAATCAGTCCCTGCTCCTGGGGGCCACACTCTCCATTATATAACAATGAGTCCGCTTGGCCAATGACTGCTACATGCAAATTTCGTAAAAATTCCTTCATCTATACCTGAAGTTCATATCCCTTAAATGGCCAAAGAGGGGGCTGCAACTCCACAATATAACTTTTCACCCATCAATTCTCTAAAGTATATTGAGTGAAAATCCTCCCAGCTGTTCTGAACCAGTAGCATTTTAAATAAAAAGTGAAGGACGGATGACAAATGTCTATGGCATAAATCACATTGATGTTTGCTGTTTTTAACAACAACTATATTCAACTGCATGCATCCTCATTCCATGAGCTGCCATTGTGTGAAATGTTCATGTCATGTTGTATGATTTACACACTTTTGTGGAAGAAGAATGGAAACCACATTGTCAATATTGGTGTACCTCCGATACATTGATAGAATAAACATTGAATTTCACAAAAAATGAATTCATTGACAAAAAGGTGAGTATTAAAACCACCAACAAACATTTACACCAATGAGGGGATCATGATCACTTACCATGGGAAGGCATGACGGCTGCCGTCTTGGCTGTGTGGAGCCGCTCAGGAACCAAGGGGGCTGGAAGAGGTTTCAGTGGGTCAGACAGACTTCCAACAGCCTTTGGTTGCGGGAGAGTGGGGCTAGGCTCAGGATATCTCAAGCGTTCCAGCGGCCTGTGGTTCTTGCACAGAAGCTGTGGCGGGGCAACCCTTGTGACATAAGACTGGCGAGAGGGGTGAGGGTACACCAGAGGATAGAACACTGGCATGGCTCCAGTGGGGTACGCCAGGCTAGGGGGTAACCTTGATCCCTGGTCAGGCACAGCACATGTTCTGGGGGCAGCCTCTCCAGTGGGGCTGACAGGTCCCTGGTGAAGAAAAATACATTATTATAATAAAATATATAACAACCAACAGCTCCCACATGTGAAATATATCCACATTGAAGCATACTAGTTAAATACTGAAATAACACAAGGAGGATGATACCAACTGCAGCAACAAACATATTTGGTTTAGGACCAGATTTCTGTCTGTCAGGGCCTTGGAAAGCCTGAACTATCACTGTGTATATTCTCATAGTCATGACAACATAGAGTTATGTTTTTGTAACAAATTCACTTTACAATGGCTTGTAAATGAAGACAAATAAAAATCCATGTACAGTAAGAATTCAGTGGTCTACAACCTGTAAGTTATACCATTTCTATACTTTAGACTTGATAAGTTAAACAGTATGTTTATTTCTTTTTTACAAGGATTTGACATCCCAAAAACAGCCAGGGTCACGTGTAGAAAGGTGCCTTTTAGAGACATCCCATTAAGAGAGAGTATACAAGAAAGAAAGAGTTGGCAGGAAAGATAGGAAAAGATGAAGATCCCAAGTGCTGCAAAAAGTGTAGAAGATCAATTCTGGTCTCAACAATGTCCTCCTAGTAGAAGAGACAAAGGAAAACCCCATCTCACAGAGGTTTCACCATCCGTTCACCCCCATCTCACAGAGGTTTCACCATCCGTTCACCTCCATCTCACAGAGGTTTCCCAATCCGTTCACCCCCATCTCACAGAGGTTTCCCCATCCATTCCCTCCCATCTCACAGAGGTTTCCTCATTCGTTTACCCCATCTCACAGAGGTTTCACCACCCGTTCACCTCCATCTCACAGAGGTTTCCCTATCCGTTCACCCCCATCTCACAGTGGTTTCCTCATCCGTTCACCTATATCTCACAGAGGTTTCCTCATTCATTCACCCCCATCTCACAGAGATTTCACCATCCGTTCACCTCCATCTCACAGAGGTTACCCCATCCGTTCACCCCCATCTCACCGAGGTTTCCCCATCCATTCCCCCCCATCTCACAGAGGTTCCCCCATCCGTTCACCCCCACCTCACAGAGTGTTCCCCATCCATTCACCCCCATCTCACAGAGGGTTCCTCATTCGTTTACCCCATCTCACAGAGGTTTCACCGTCCGTTCACCTCCATCTCACAGAGGTTCCCCCATCCGTTCACCCCCACCTCACAGAGTGTTCCCCATCCATTCACCCCCATCTCACAGGGGTTCCTCATCTGTTCACCTCCAGCTCACAGAGGTTTCCCAATCCATTCACCCCCATCTCACAGAGGCTTCACCATCCGTTCACCTCCATCTCACAGAGGGTTCCCCATTCGTTCACCCCATCTCACAGAGGTTTACTCATCCGTTCCCCCCATCTCACAGAGGTTTCCTCATTCGTTCATCTCCATCTCACAGAGGTTTCCTCATCCGTTCACCCCATCTCACAGAGGTTTCCCCATTCGTTCACCCCATCTCACAGAGGTTTCCTCATCCATTCACCCCCATCTCACAGAGGTTTCCTCATCCGTTCACCCCCATCTCACAGAGGTTCCTCATCTGTTCACCTCCATCTCACAGAGGTTTCCCCATTCGTTCACCCCCATCTCACAGAGGTTTCCTCATCGGTTCACCTCCATCTCACAGAGGTTTCCTCATCCGTTCACCACCATCTCACAGAGGTTCCTCATCTGTTCACCTCCATCTCACAGAGGTTTCCCCATTCGTTCCCCCCCATCTCACAGAGGTTTCCTCATCCGTTCACCTCCATCTCACAGAGGTTTCCTCATCCGTTCATCTCCATCTCACAGAGGTTTCCTCATCCGTTCACCTCCATCTCTTAGAGGTTTCCTCATTCGTTCATCTCCATCTCTCAGAGGTTTCCTCATCTGTTCACCTTCATCTCACAGAGGTTTCCCCATCCGTTCACCCCATCTCACAGAGGTTTCCTCATTCGTTCATCTTCATCTCACAGAGGTTTCCTCATTCGTTCACCTCCATCTCACAGGTTTCCTCATCCGTTCACCTCCATCTCTCAGAGGTTTCCTCATTCGTTCATCTTCATCTCACAGAGGTTTCCCCATCCGTTCACCCCCATCTCACAGAGGTTTCCCCATCCTTTCACCCCCATCTCACAGAGGTTTCCTCATCTGTTCACCCCCATCTCAGAGAGGTTTCCTCATCCGTTCACCCCCATCTCACAGAAGTTTCCTCATCTGTTCACCCCCATCTCACAGAGGTTTCCTCATCCGTTCACCCCATCTCAGAAGTTTCCTCATCCGTTCACCTCCATCTCTCAGAGGTTTCCTCATTCGTTTACCCCATCTCACAGAGGTTTACCCATCCGTTCACCTCCATCTCACAGAGGTTACCCCATCCGTTCACCTCCATCTCACAGAGGTTTCCCCATCCGTTCACCTCCATCTCACAGAGGTTACCCCATCCGTTCACCCCCATCTCACAGAGGTTTCCCCATTCGTTCCCCCCATCTCACAGAGGTTTCCTCATCCATTCACCCCCATCTCACAGAGGTTTCCTCATCCGTTCCCCCCATCTCAGAAGTTTCCTCATCCGTTCACCTCCATCTCTCAGAGGTTTCCTCATTCGTTCATCTCCATCTCTCAGAGGTTTCCTCATCTGTTCACCTTCATCTCACAGAGGTTTCCCCATCCGTTCACCCCCATCTCACAGAGGTTTCCCCATTCGTTCACCCCCATCTCACAGAGGTTTCCTCATCGGTTCACCTCCATCTCACAGAGGTTTCCTCATCCGTTCATCTCCATCTCACAGAGGTTTCCTCATCCGTTCACCCCCATCTCTCAGAGGTTTCCCCATCCGTTCCCCCCATCTCACAGAGGTTTCCTCATCCATTCACCCCCATCTCACAGAGGTTTCCTCATCCGTTCACCTCCATCTCTCAGAGGTTTCCTCATTCGTTCATCTTCATCTCACAGAGGTTTCCCCATCCGTTCACCCCCATCTCACAGAGGTTTCCTCATCCGTTCACCTCCATCTCTCAGAGGTTTCCTCATTCGTTCATCTCCATCTCTCAGAGGTTTCCTCATCTGTTCACCTTCATCTCACAGAGGTTTCCCCATCCGTTCACCCCCATCTCACAGAGGTTTCCTCATTCGTTCATCTTCATCTCTCAGAGGTTTCCTCGTTCGTTCACCCCCATCTCACAGAGGTTTCCTCATTCGTTCACCTCCATCTCACAGGTTTCCTCATCCGTTCACCTCCATCTCTCAGAGGTTTCCTCATCCGTTCACCCCCATCAATACACATGCAGTGGGAATACAGACCAATGTTAATACACTGTAGAGCTGGTGAGTTAAGACCAATGTTACTACACGGTAGAGTTGGTGAGTTAAGACCAATGTTACTACACTGTAGAGCTGGTGAAGTAAGACCAATGTTACTACACTGTAGAGCTGGTGAGTTAAGACCAATGTTTCTACACTGTAGAGTTGGTGAGTTAAGACCTATGTTACTATACTGTACAGTTGGTGAGTTAAGACCAATGTTACTACACTGTACAGTTTGTGATTTGAGACCTATGTTACTACACTGTAGAGTTGGTGAGTTAAGACCTATGTTACTACACTGTAGAGTTTGTGAGTTAAGACCAATGTTACTATACTGTAGAGTTTGTGAGTTAAGACCTATGGTACTACACTGTAGAGCTGGTGATTTAAGACCAATGTTACTACACTGTAGAGCTGGTGAGTTAAGACCAATGTTTCTACACTGTAGAGCTAGTGAGTTAAGACCAATGTTACTACACTGTAGAGTTGGCGAGTAAAGACCAATGTTACTACACTGTACAGTTGATGAGTTAAGACCAATGTTACTACACTGTACAGTTTGTGATTTGAGACCTATGTTACTATACTGTAGAGTTGGTGAGTTAAGACCAATGTTACTACACGGTAGAGCTGGTGAGTAACGACCAATGCTACTACACTGTAGAGTTGGTGAGTTACGACCTATGTTACTACACTGTAGAGCTGGTGAGTTAAGAATAATGTTATTACATGGTAGAGTTGGCGAGTTAATACCAATGTTATTACACGGTAGAGTTTGTGAGTTAAGACCTATGTTACTATACTGTAGAGATTGTGAGTTAAGACCAATGTTACTATACTGTAGAGTTTGTGAGTTAAGCCCTATGGTACTACACTGTAGAGCTGGTGATTTAAGACCAATGTTACTACACTGTAGAGCTGGTGAGTTAAGAATAATGTTATTACATGGTAGAGTTGGCGAGTTAATACCAATGTTATTACACGGTAGAGTTTGTGAGTTAAGACCTATGTTACTACACTGTAGAGCTGGTGAGTTAAGACCAATGTTACTACACGGTAGAGCTGGTGAGTAACGACCAATGTTACTACACTGTAGAGTTGGTGAGTTAAGACCTATGTTACTACACTGTAGAGCTGGTGAGTTAAGACCAATGTTATTACATGGTAGAGTTGGCGAGTTAAGACCAATGTTATTACACGGTAGAGTTTGTGAGTTAAGACCTATGTTACTATACTGTAGAGTTTGTGAGTTAAGACCAATGTTACTATACTGTAGAGTTTGTGAGTTAAGACCTATGTTACTACACTGTAGAGCTGGTGAGTTAAGACCAATGTTTCTACACTGTAGAGTTTGTGAGTTAAGACCTATGTTACCATACCAATGAGTTGTTGAAAATGGCTATTTAATTCTAAAAACTTACATCACACAAAATGCTTGTATCTCGCAGTTTTCCTTCCAGTTGAGCAATGTTTTTCTCTTTTTCTGATACAAATTTCTGCAAATATATATCACATATTTTCTCCTCAGATATTCTTATACATTCTGTGAAAGTGTCAGTCAAATCTGAACAGGTTAATTGTAAACAATATGGAACAATCTCTATACAACCTAACAATTACAGACAGAATAAATGAGCTTCAAATCATTCATTTTACAGTAGAATATACACAGAAACAAGACAAAATGTTTGTTAGGGATAGCATTGAATTACCAGCATTCTTTAAACTTTAAATGTCTTACCTCCAAGGATCTAACTCGAGTCTCATTTGCTGACGCAGCCTCTTCAATACGTATGCGAAGGCGGTTCGTTTCCTCATCCTTCTTGTGCATTTCTTCATGGAAATGTTTACGCAGGCTTTCTACTTTGGCCTTCTCTTCAATGTACAGTGTCTTATACCTACAAGTACAAAAGATCTGCATTTCAGTAAATTGTTTAGCTATCAAAGTGATAGTAGTAGTAGTTTCAATATTATATATTTATGCTAAATTATTCACAATAATTTACAATTGAATATCAACAGATAGATATTTTACAATTGGAAAAGTAATTTGAGGTGAAAGCAGATCAAGGAAAATAGAAAAGCCATAACAAACAGTCTGTATTATCCCATGGTGGGTAATCGCTTATGCAGAACACTCTGTTTTGTAATATGTCATACGGGAATTTCCAATCTAATAAAAATACGTGAATGTGATGCATTCTTTGCAGCAACTGCAATTTTGTTAACCATCATGTATACATTGTACTTTTCTTTTGGTGCAAGAAATTTGAGGTCAATTTTTGACTTGCTTTCACTTTGCTATTTTTTCCTGTACCACCCTAGTAGTTTACATTGTATGTCAAATCACATTCTCAGATTGTAAGTTGTTTATCGACATGCATGACCATCGAAGAAAACACAATTGTCATTGGTCACATAAGACTTTTTTAAGGTGACATAACAATCAGAATCTTGAACTGTCATAATCCAAGATCTTGTTCTCCCGATCAGTCTCAAATGAAACAGGCAAAATAGTGGACCCAGGTGAATCTAAATTTTGATAGTCCACAATCTGATGAGAGTTGGCTTAAAACAGAAGAGTTTTCTAACACATTCTAGAACACATTGACAATGCCGTACTTGAGTTTCTTCTCCTGGCGTATCCTCAGCTCTTCTCCCATTGTCTCCAACTCTTTCTCCAGTTGACTGGAACTCTGTAGCTCTGTACCTTTTTTACCATCTGATATATAAAAAAAAAAGGCTCGAGATAAAATAGGCATAGGCTGAAGTTAATGTAGACTGAAGTTTACCATCTGAAACTGAAAATAACGACACAGGAATGGAATACCTGGACTGCTCCCAGGCACTCCTACCCTGTCAGTATTTACCATGGTTTGTAATTATCCCGGTAACCTCCCAGGCACTCCTACCCTGTCATTATTAGCCATATTTTGTAATAATCCCAGTAACCTTCCAGGCACTCCTACCCTGTCAACATTAGCCATATTTTGTAATAATCCCAGTAACCTCCCAGGCACTCCTACCCTGTCAGCATTTACCATGGTTTGTAATAATCCCAGTAACCTCCCAGGCACTCCTGCCCTGTCAGCATTTACCATGGTTTGTAATTATCCCAGTAATCTCCCAGGCACTCCTACCCTGTCAGCATTAACCATGGTTTGTAATAATCCCAGTAACCTTCCAGGCACTCCTACCCTGTCAACATTAGCCATATTTTGTAATAATCCCAGTAACCTCCCAGGCACTCCTACCCTGTCAGCATTTACCATGGTTTGTAATAATCCCAGTAACCTCCCAGGCACTCCTGCCCTGTCAGCATTTACCATGGTTTGTAATTATCCCAGTAATCTCCCAGGCACTCCTACCCTGTCAGCATTAACCATGGTTTGTAATAATCCCAGTAACCTTCCAGGCACTCCTACCCTGTCAACATTAGCCATATTTTGTAATAATCCCAGTAACCTCCCAGGCACTCCTACCCTGTCAGCATTTACCATGGTTTGTAATAATCCCAGTAACCTCCCAGGCACTCCTGCCCTGTCAGCATTTACCATGGTTTGTAATTATCCCAGTAATCTCCCAGGCACTCCTACCCTGTCAGCATTAACCATGGTTTGTAATTATCCCAATAACCTCCCAGGCACTCCTACCCTGTCAGCATTTACCATGATTTGTAATTATCCCAGTAACCTCCCAGGCACTCCTACCCTGTCAGCATTAACCGTGGTTTGTAATTATCCCAGGAACCTCCCAGGCACTCCTACCTTGTCAGCATTAACCGTAGTTTGTAATTATCCCAGTAACCTCCCAGGCTCTCCTACCCTGTCAGCATTTACCATGGTTTGTAATTATCCCAGTAACCTCCCAGGCACTCCTACCCTGTCAGCATTAACCATGGTTTGTAATTACCCCAATAACATCCCAGGCACTCCTACCCTGTCAGAATTTACCATGGTTTGTAATTATCCCAGTAACCTCCCAGGCACTCCTACCCTGTCAGCATTTACCATGGTTTGTAATTATCCCAGTAACCTCCCAGGCTCTCCTACCCTGTCAGCATTTACCATGGTTTGTAATTATCCCAGGAACCTCCCAGGCACTCCTGCCCTGTCAGCATTTACCATGGTTTGTAATTATCCCAATAACCTCCAAGGCACTCCTGCCCTGCTAGCATTTACCATGGTTTGTAATTATCCAAGTAATCTCCCTTGTCTTGGAATCTAGAGCCAGCATGCTACATATATATTTTATATCTTGGCTAGGCCATAAAGGTAAGTTTGACCAGTGATTTAGGTTTATAATTGTGTTAATTATAATATTGGTTGTTATATTTCCCTGAGTTACCTTGCCTGATTGGTTATTATATTTCCCTGAGTTACCTTGCCTGATTGGTTGTTATATTTCCCTGATTTACCTTGCCTGATTGGTTGTTATATTTCCCTGAGTTACCTTGCCTGATTGGTTGTTACGTTTCCCCGAGTTACCTTGCCTGATTGGTTGTTATATTTCCCTGAGTTATCTTGCCTGATTGGTTGTTATATTTCCCTGAGTTACCTTGCCTGATTGGTTGTTATATTTCCCTGAGTAACCTTGCCTGATTGGTTGATATATTTCCCTGAGTTACCTTGCCTGATTGGTTGTTATATTTCCCTGATTTACCTTGCCTGATTGGTTGTTATATTTCCCTGAGTTACCTTGCCTGATTGGTTGTTGATAGATGATGTTTCTTAAGGAGGGGGCAATGCTTGTGAAATGATTGCAATTATGTTTATGGTTGAAAGTTGTTACCTCAAAGTTAGGTTCTAAATAATTCTATTTTTACTAACACTGACCGTGATATCTCTGAAAACCACATGAAAAATAAATGGAAATCTTTCTCTTTCTATGGTAACCCACAATCAGCTTTGTGGAATAATTATTTTTTGAAGTCAGGATCAGACACCTAAAATGCTTCAATTTCGAGTGAGTATTGTTTATTTTGTATTTGCTCAGGTTTCACTGAGTTACTGTCTGAGGAAGGTGACATTACAGTAAGTTCTATAGTTACCGTCTGAGGAAGATGACATTACAGTAAGTTCTATAGTTACCATCTGAGGAAGATGACATTACAGTAAGTTCTATAGTTACTGTCTGAGGAAGATGACATTACAGGAAGTTCTATAGTTTCCGTCTGAGGAAGGTAACATTACAGTAAGTTCTATAGTTACCATCTGAGGAAGATGACATTACAGTAAGATCTATAGTTACCGTCTGAGGAAGATGACATTACAGGAAGTTCTATAGTTATCGTCTGAGGAAGGTGACATTACAATAAGCTCTATAGTTACCGTCTGAGGAAGGTGAAATTACAGGAAGTTCTATAGTTACTGTCTGAGGAAGGTGACATTACAGAAAGATCTATAGTAACCGTCTGAGGAAAGTGACATTACAGAAAGATCTATAGTTACCGTCTGAGGAAGATGACATTACAGGAAGTTCTATAGTTACCGTCTGAGGAAGGTGACATTACAGGAAGTTCTATAGTTACCGTCTGAGGAAGGTGACATTACAGGAAGTTCTATAGTTACCGTCTGAGGAAGGTGACATTACAGGAAGTTCTATAGTTACCGTCTGAGGAAGGTGACATTACAGGAAGTTCTATAGTTACCGTCTGAGGAAGGTGACATTACAGGAAGTTCTATAGTTACCGTCTGAGGAAGGTGACATTACAGGAAGTTCTATAGTTACCGTCTGAGGAAGGTGACATTACAGGAAGTTCTATAGTTACCGTCTGAGGAAGGTGACATTACAGGAAGTTCTATAGTTACCGTCTGAGGAAGGTGACATTACAGGAAGTTCTATAGTTACCGTCTGAGGAAGGTGACATTACAGGAAGTTCTATAGTTACCGTCTGAGGAAGGTGACATTACAGGAAGTTCTATAGTTACCGTCTGAGGAAGGTGACATTACAGGAAGTTCTATAGTTACCGTCTGAGGAAGGTGACATTACAGGAAGTTCTATAGTTACCGTCTGAGGAAGGTGACATTACAGGAAGTTCTATAGTTACCGTCTGAGGAAGGTGACATTACAGGAAGTTCTATAGTTACCGTCTGAGGAAGGTGACATTACAGGAAGTTCTATAGTTACCGTCTGAGGAAGGTGACATTACAGGAAGTTCTATAGTTACCGTCTGAGGAAGGTGACATTACAGGAAGTTCTATAGTTACCGTCTGAGGAAGGTGACATTACAGGAAGTTCTATAGTTACCGTCTGAGGAAGGTGACATTACAGGAAGTTCTATAGTTACCGTCTGAGGAAGGTGACATTACAGGAAGTTCTATAGTTACCGTCTGAGGAAGGTGACATTACAGGAAGTTCTATAGTTACCGTCTGAGGAAGGTGACATTACAGGAAGTTCTATAGTTACCGTCTGAGGAAGGTGACATTACAGGAAGTTCTATAGTTACCGTCTGAGGAAGGTGACATTACAGGAAGTTCTATAGTTACCGTCTGAGGAAGGTGACATTACAGGAAGTTCTATAGTTACCGTCTGAGGAAGGTGACATTACAGGAAGTTCTATAGTTACCGTCTGAGGAAGGTGACATTACAGGAAGTTCTATAGTTACCGTCTGAGGAAGGTGACATTACAGGAAGTTCTATAGTTACCGTCTGAGGAAGGTGACATTACAGGAAGTTCTATAGTTACCGTCTGAGGAAGGTGACATTACAGGAAGTTCTATAGTTACCGTCTGAGGAAGGTGACATTACAGGAAGTTCTATAGTTACCGTCTGAGGAAGGTGACATTACAGGAAGTTCTATAGTTACCGTCTGAGGAAGGTGACATTACAGGAAGTTCTATAGTTACCGTCTGAGGAAGGTGACATTACAGGAAGTTCTATAGTTACCGTCTGAGGAAGGTGACATTACAGGAAGTTCTATAGTTACCGTCTGAGGAAGGTGACATTACAGGAAGTTCTATAGTTACCGTCTGAGGAAGGTGACATTACAGGAAGTTCTATAGTTACCGTCTGAGGAAGGTGACATTACAGGAAGTTCTATAGTTACCGTCTGAGGAAGGTGACATTACAGGAAGTTCTATAGTTACCGTCTGAGGAAGGTGACATTACAGGAAGTTCTATAGTTACCGTCTGAGGAAGGTGACATTACAGGAAGTTCTATAGTTACCGTCTGAGGAAGGTGACATTACAGGAAGTTCTATAGTTACCGTCTGAGGAAGGTGACATTACAGGAAGTTCTATAGTTACAGTCTGATGAAGGTGACATTACAGGAAGTTTTATAGTTACCGTCTGAGAAAGGTGACATGACAGGAAGTTCTATAGTTACCGTCTGAGGAAGATGACATTACAGGAAGTTCTATGGTTACCGTCTGAGGAAGGTGACATTACAGGAAGTTCTACAGTTACTGTCTGAGGAAGGTGACATCACAGGAAGTTCTATAGTTACCGTCTGAGGAAAGTGACATTACAGTAAGTTCTATAGTGACCGCCTGAGGAAGGTGACATTACAGGAAGTTCTATAGTTACCGTCTGAGGAAGGTGACATTACAGTAAGTTCTATAGTTACAGTCTGATGAAGGTGACATTACAGGAAGTTCTACAGTTACCGTCTGAGGAAGATGACATTACAGGAAGTTCTATAGTTACTGCCTGAGGAAGGTGACATTACAGTAAGTTCTATAGTCACCGTCTGAGGAAAGCGACATTACAGGAAGTTCTATAGTTACAGTCTGATGAAGGTGACATTACAGGAAGTTTTATAGTTACTGTCTGAGAAAGGTGACATGACAGGAAGTTCTATAGTTACCGTCTGAGGAACGTGACATTACAGTAAGTTCTATAGTTACCGTGTGAGGAAGGTGACATTACAGGAAGATCTATAGTCCGTCTGAGGAAGGTGACATTACAGGAAGTTCTACAGTTACCGTCTGAGGAAGATGACATTACAGGAAGTTCTATAGTAACCGTCTGAGGAAGATGACATTACAGGAAGTTCTATGGTTACCGTCTGAGGAAGGTGACATTACAGGAAGATCTATAGTCCGTCTGAGGAAGGTGACATTACAGGAAGTTCTATAGTTAACGTCTGAGGAAAGTGACATTACAGTAAGTTCTATAGTGACCGCCTGAGGAAGGTGACATTACAGGAAGTTCTATAGTAACCGTCTGAGGAAGGTGACATTACAGGAAGTTCTACAGTTACCGTCTGAGGAAGATGACATTACAGGAAGATCTATAGTTACCGTCTGAGGAAGATGACATTACAGGAAGATCTATAGTTACCGTCTGAGGAAGGTGACATTTCAGTAAGTTCTATAGTTACAGTCGGATGAAGGGGACATTACAGGAAGTTCTACAGTTACCGTCTGAGGAAGATGACATTACAGGAAGATCTATAGTTACCGTCTGAGGAAGATGACATTACAGGAAGATCTATAGTTACCGTCTGAGGAAGGTGACATTTCAGTAAGTTCTATAGTTACAGTCGGATGAAGGTGACATTACAGGAAGTTCTATAGTTATCGTCTGAGGAAGGTGACATTACAGTAAGTTCTATATGACATTACAGTAAGTTCTATAGTTACCGTCTCAGGAAGGTGACATTACAGTAAGATCTATAGTTACCGTCTGAGGAAGGTGACATTACAGAAAGATCTATAGTTACCGTCTGAGGAAGGTGACATTACAGTAAGATCTATAGTTACCGTCTGAGGAAGGTGACATTACAGGAAGTTTTATAGTTATCGTCTGAGGAAAGTGACATTACAGTAAGTTCTATAGTTACTGCCTGAGGAAGATGACATTACAGAAAGATCTATAGTTACCGTCTGAGGAAAATGACATTACAGTAAGTTCTATAGTTACTGTCTCAGGAAGGTGACATTACAGTAAGTTCTATAGTTACCGTCTGAGGAAGGTGACATTACAGTAAGTTCTATAGTTACCATCTGAGGAAGATGACATTACAGAAAGTTCTATAGTTACCGTCTGAGGAAGGTGACATTACAGGCGTGTCCACTACAAATGTCTGACTTGACACAGAACTCTCAGAAATGCTTCTCTCCATCTTTTTGGTCTTCCCTATTCACAAATTGAAAAGTCACAAACTTACAACATAAACATTTTGATCATGTTTAATTACCAGCTCAACTAGACCATGGCATATGTTATTTATGCAGTTGATTTCTTAAACTGAATATATCCAGACCTCACCCTGATAAGTGTTTTTATAGTTCCAGGTATTATGAGAAAATATCTCCTAATGTTTTCCATACCTATAACTTTTAACAAACTTTCGATCACCATACCAGTAATACTCTAATATCATAGAAATGGGAATTTTTTTTGAGATGATATCATCCCGTGCATGATGTGATCACCAAATGATTCAAATTACTTATCTATTTACTTTTGCTAGTAATCCAACAGGAGGCCCAATAGGCCTGTATCATTCCCCTGTTATCCATCTCGCATCAAAATGGGGCAAGGCCAAAATTATTCAAGTAGACTATTATATCCTGCAGTACACATTATGATTTTTTGTAGGAATACTTTAACTTGTTTCATTAATGTGACCTTAACATAACAAAAAATAGAAATCTTCTCACTTTTTTCGACCAATTTGCCCAGTTTCTTCTGAAGTTTCTTGTTTTCAATGTACAAGGTTTTGTACTCAGTTGAACTCATATTCAGCCTCTCTTTCAAATCTTCATTTTCACGAACAAGCTCCTTGATGTTCTGTTTGTATTCTTTCTGTATAAAAATCCAAATCAATACTTCAGAAGCATAACAAGAGGTTGAAAAGGTCTGTATTGCTTTCCTGAGGTGTGACAATCCATGCGAAGAACAACTTGATAGCCATTCATAGCAGTGTTCTACAGACCACCTGAAGACGTAATCAAAGGTTAACAAAGTTAACCCATGTCACATTGGAAAACAAGAGGCCCAATGGGCCTGTATTGCCCACCGGTCATTCATTTCACAGCTGTGGCTTTCAAAAAGGGTCAAGGTCAAATATTTAAAAAGGTAAAATATATTTAATTTATACATAATGGGTATTTGTAGGTCGTTTTTTCTCTCTTATGAATCAGTATTAGAAGAATTTTGGTTTAATTTACTTCCCTAATCTGATATAAAAAGTTGATTAGGCCAAGTCATTTATTCACACATCACTGTTAATATTGTGTTTCAATAGTAGAGACTGGAAAATCCACAACCATTCATTCCAAGTCTTCATTAGAATTTCTCACCCGGTGTCTTATACATTATCACATGGTCAATACACACTGCCACCGTCATTATGGTGACCTCTCGGGGTCGAGACACTCTGAGCTATGTCATGTGACCAGTACACTGTACAACATTAACATTCACATCAAATTGGGCAACGTGAAACCTCTAAATGATATTATCTAAATGTGAAACCTCTAAATGATATTATCTAAACGTGAAATCTCTAAATGATATTATCTAAAAGTGAAAACTGCGTGGTCTTAACCATACAAAATGCACGGTACATCTGAACCATTTTATTGTTTTGATTCAAGAAAGATGGAAAAAAAATAACAGCAATATTTGCTTAAAAAAGTATTGTTTTTACAATTTGTTGTTTATAACACAGATAGACTTTTTGAGTTATTCGCTGTATCTAATACAATGTTGTTTCAGTTTTCACATTGCCTGCAAAGGGGGACTTTGAAGTAATAGACACTGATGTTAACGTTACCAGAGTAATGCATAAAGCTGAACTCCTTCACAATGGTTGTCTTTAGTGCTTCATTCCCAAATACAGGGAAAGTAAATGTGGACGTGTATAAATGTAACTATAGTAAATGTTGAGAAGCACACTCCATTAAGAACTGTTCGACATATCCATCATATATCAGAGTATCCATCTTAATGATGTCACTGATTTAGACATTTGTTACAATGCATACTTTTTCTTAAATACGGTAATGAGTCAACTTTACAGGCACAATTTTAACTACCATGCCCAGGTCCCATGCCCCTTATCAATTTAAATCAGTAAGTCTGAAGGCCTCTTGGTTATTCAGAAGAAGTTGCTTTTAACACATTGGACCCTTGTGACCTTTGAATGTGGTCAAGGTCATTCATTTGAATGTCCAAAGGGCAAGGTGAGCTAAAGATGTGCAGAGCTGAGGTAGGATTATGAGCATACTTACAGCCTTTTTACCAATTTCTGTGTGTAATTCCCCATGACTTTGCTCTATTTTGGAGTATCTCTCCTTGAGTGTTTTTTGTGCCATCTGCAGACAATGCAGGGAGCTGAGAGAGTTTCCTGTAACGTCACAAGTCTTTCCCAGCTTATCATTCAAAGCTGCATTCTCTGTTTCTACTTTGGCCATCTCCTACAAAATGAAATGGTTTCTCTAGAAACATGCTACAAATGATTTTAAAATGCTTAACAATTGTTCATCAAAATCAATTTTATTTTGTTTTGTTTCATAATGCTTGATCAACACTATTTCTTATATGCTCATACCAGACCTACGGAAACTCACTTTTCTGATCAGCACTAAGTTAAACTCTCAGCTGTCTGACCACTGAGAACTCGCCCTTCTGATGTACTTGAATTTCTGCCTCTGGTCAACTTACCTTTCTTACAGACTCAAGCTCACTGTTAGTGGCTTCCACGTCGCTTGCCATATGATTGAGCTCTTTGGTCAATCTGTCTTGTACCTGCTTCAAGATATAGCAAGCACTCTCTGACTTCTGCAAAATATACATGTTTACAGATATAGTACAATGCCAATGTATCTGAAAACTGGTCTTCACCTAAGCTTCAGTATTAGTCAAATTAATACATTCTGAAGAAGTGACAGAGATTACAATTAAACAAAAATCCCAATGGACCTGTATCACTCCCATGTTATTGAAACTTTAAAGTGGGATGACAGACGTTTTTAAATGGGTGTTTTTGTATGATTTACTTTGTGCGCATTGGATCTTTGTTAGAAAATGTATTACTCTACACATTCTGAACCTTTTTCCTGAAGATGAAGATTTTAACTTCTTTTATTCATATGACATTGCAGGAGGGTCAATGTCATTCATTTGAAAAAAAACTTTGATAGCCCTCTATCCTTGCATGCTACTAGTCAAAGATGACTGTATGCCTCTTGTATATTAACAAGTAATTGTTTCAAGTTTTATCAAATTTGACCTTCAAATAGGTCAAGGTCTTTTATTTGAGCAAAGTTGATAAAGTTTCATCCAAGCATGCTACTGACAAAATACCATGATCCTAGGCATCTTATTTATTCCAAAAAACATTTAAAGATTTCAATACATTGACCCCTGTGACTCAAGGTTGTTTATTTGAACCGACTTGATAGCCTTTCATCCAAGCAAACTACAAGCCAAATATCATGACTTCAGGTTGGTTAGTTTACAGAAGCCATTTTAACCTCTGAGACCTTGAAAGTGGGTCAGGCTATCCATTTGAACAAACCTCATAGCCCATCATCCCAGCATGCTACTGGCATAAAATATCACAAAGAAATAATTTCAAGATCTGAAGTCATCCGACTCCTGTGACCTTAGAAGTGGGTCAAGGTCACTGATTTGAAAGGAAGTAGTTTAAAATGGTTATATACATTTTATCATAAAAAAATCCAAATAACAATGGAGAATAGTTAACTAGACAATGTTATTGCAGCATGACACTGTACTGATATGATAATGCTTTAGTAAGACAGTTCTGACTGCCCCCAAAATGATCTATCAAAGTTGTCATTGAGAGATAGTGATAACAAGGATAGTTAACAGACGATGGATGGACAATAAAGCTCTAATTTGAACAGACAACCTTCTTATAATGGTGGGTTTATACAGCTTATGTTGAATGGCCAGGTGATGGATGCCTATGGCCAGATAAACTGATCTTTAACGATGTACAATTTACCAATTAGGTATCTTCTATTCAACATGTTTACGAAGGAAAACTGACAACAAGTTCTGCTATATTGATCATGAGAGACAGTGATCTATTATAGAAATGGTCCATGTTATAGCGCCCACCTCTAGGTCTGACGACATCTTCTCCTTTGTCTCCTCGTAGCACTGCATCTCCTCTTGCATGAGTTTCTTTGTGTGCTCTGCCGCCTCAAGTTTATCCTCTGTATTTTTCAGACGTTCAATCAGGCAGTCCATGCGTTGCTTTGGACAAAGTTAGAAATCAATACATCATGTAGGAAAGTCCTGAGGAGGAGGAGGTGATATTGGTAACATTGGAAGGATGATGCAATTTGACAGAAATAGCAAATAACAAATTTGAACCATGTGACCTTGAATACCTTGGCTAAAAGTCATTTTTGTTTCTAAAGATAATGACACTCCATTTCACTAGCCACTGGCTATATATTATGACTAGGTACTTGTATTCCACAGATATGATGAACCCCATTGACGTAGAATATTGGGCAATGTCATTTCTTTTCACAAGTTTGTAGCACTTCATGTCGGTAAGCTACGAACCAAATAGCATGACTTTAGCCCTTTTGGTTCCTCAAAAGAAGTTGTTTGACAAATTTGACCCCTCTGTGTACCACCACAAGCTATAAAACAACTGGCCACATATCATATTTCCTAGCTTATGACTTCTTAAAAAATAAGTTTTTGAGTGTTTTAACATATTTGACCCCTATGACCTTAATTTTAAACCAAGGTAATTCCTTTTCCCAAATACACACCAGTTACTTTTTATACCAACATAATAGAGCCATACCTGATTATCTTTCGAGCTGGTGACATGCTTTTCCATATGTCTAGCTTTGTCCTGTATTTCTTGTTGCAGCCCATCAACTTGGTTCCTCAGCATAATGATAACACTTTCACTCTCAGCCACCTCCCTGGTCAATGACTCTAACTTTTCATTAGTTTCCTTGGCTGATGTCTCAGACTTAGCAAAATGATTCTAGAATACATAAAGAAGTTGACAGTGTTAATTAAAGAGCTACCAGTGAGTTTCTTGCTACGCTGTAGGATATACATAGCAACTCAGAGGATTTAAACAATTGGGAAAGTAAAGAGTTTGAAGTCACAATGTACCACACATCAACCTGAAGGTTTGTTTTTGTGAACAAATACATATGTCTCCATTATTAGCTAATATTCTTTCCCTTCTTTGCAAAATAAAAATACTTTAATCAAGTCAAACAACTATTTATCTACATTTTACGTTATTAGAGGAATTGCTTACTAATAAACTATAAAATACATAAATGCAATTAGAAAGTTATGATATTGAAGGTCACAATATCCAATAAGTTAAAAAGTGAAAACTGAAAAGTATGCACCTCTATGGTGACCTTATGAAAGTGCACGGCACATTGTCTGTTGATGCTGCAGATATACAGCAAGTTTCATCAAGATATCTTAAACATTTTAAAACTTACAGCCTGGACAAGAAATTATTAGAAGAACCAGTCCTAAAACAATGTCTCCCTTCATAACAGTGTACAGGAAAAGGAACATACAAAGTGAGTAAGTTAATGTGTGTACCACGGCAGAGAATTGTCTTTCGAATTTAAAATCACATGTAGGCCAACAGCGACATAATTTCTTAAATTTGCTGGCCGTGGTTTGTTAAAAACTTGTTCTACTGTACCAATTTACACCAATTCACCACAAGCCATTTGGTCATGTTCTCTGCATGTAAACTTTAGATGGGAGGATATTTCATTAGATACATTTACGTAAGTATATCACTCATTAGAGGTCAGAGCAGTGAAGGCTGCTTGAGTTTTGTCAATAGTAAAAATCCTTGTACTCTCATGTTCTATACTATACTAAATTATTGAACTCTATCATTTTACATTTTTGACATTCAAATTGGGTCAAGGTCAAATCAATTTAAACTATCTTGACAGCAAGCAAGCTAACACTACAAATCATACTCTACAGCTGACAAATATATTTTGAATGATTTCAACTTGTTTTACTCATGGGCCTTTCAATGTTGGTTGTGATATCTGGACAAAATAAAGGCCAACTTTTGTTCTGTTCTTGAGCTTAAGTGTTCTCCATGTCAGCCAAATATCACGATTAGATCTTTTGGTTTATCAGAAGATACTGTTTCAGCCATTTAACAAAACTGACATCTGTGACTTTGAATATGGGTCTGTTTGCAAATTTTGAAGCACTACCAATGAACAAGCTACTGGCCAATTACTCTTATTCCGAGACTCTTGCTACTCCAGAAATCAAGAATATGTTTGAATTTTATAACAAATTTGACCCCTGTGACCTTGTATACACTTAAAGGTCGTGTAGATCTTTGAAGCACTCATTTGAGCAAGTTACAGACTAAAGATCATTGTTCTAAGCCTTTTGGTTCTTCAGAAGATGTTTGAGCATTTGAACAAATATAACCCCCATGACCTTGAACATGGCCCTGTCAAGACCATTTCTGATTCCAAACTTTGCCCTTTAATTCTTCAAAACAAGCCTGAATTTAAAAATAAAAAAAATGAAAGAGCCCGGAGACCTTGCAAGTATAGAAAGTCAAGCTCATTTTTGTGCTATCATTGTTGATCTTTCTGTAAGGAAACTACTTGAAAAATATCCTGACCCTAAGCATGTTTCTCAAGAAGATGCCATTCAAAGAGAATGATGGTGGCAATGGACAATGTGCCATGGCATCAGCTTACATGGGCCTTTGGGCTAGATGAGCTAAATATTGGAGGGAAATGATGTACCTTGTATAGCTCTATCTGTCCAGTCATCACTCTCATTTCACCCTCAAACTTGTCCTTTTCATTCTGCAATTTACGTATCTCAGCCTTTAGTTCTTTGATTTCTTCATTAAGTCTAGAAATACGTCCCTCCATTTCCTCGCCATCATGATTCTGAGTATCCAGACGAGTTTGCAGCTCTTCACGAACAATGTTCATGTCATGGGCTTCCTGTAAACAATTTTAAAGTGACTGACATACATCACTCACAGGTGAAATAGTCCTAGTACTACCTCCTGTTCATCTCTATTTATAACAAACCTATATAACCCCTACAGGCAGTATCACACAAATCAGCTTCCAAAGCTGAATTTTGTTTTATTTCAATCAAATAAGATATTGATGGAACAAGTCCAAAAGTTACAATTTAATTTAAGTGAACACTTACTTAAGACAAGCTTCATGTCATAACAATAGGCCCATAAACTTTAATTGTCTCCTGAGTTTTAATTTAATTATTATTTTTGTGACCTGACAAAACGATATACATGTACATGTAGTACAAGTATAGCTTTTTCTGTCGAGCCATTTACAATGTTTGTGGGATTCCTACATAAAACAGTTCAAACTGAATACTGAGTAGTTTATGGATTGATTAACGGTTTCTTCAAAATTCGAGTATGGACTTAGATATGAGCTATGATCATACCAATACATCTCAAAACAGTAAATGGTTATGTACATGTTTATTTACACTCCTTATAACAACACATCCATAATAGTATCTATAACATCTACCATAACAACGTCTAGAGCTCTAGGAGCCACAACAACAACATGTATGAATACACATGAATAAGCTATTGAAACTACAAGTTACCACCGACCAACATTGAATGAATCTGTTAAATGTCGTAAGTAATATCATACTACCGGTACATTGTACACATTTATTGAGGCATTTTCCTGTCAGGTAAAAAGACCTATTACTTCTGTTATGTTTCTTATTTAGAGCTTTTCAACATTTGTTTAAAATATTTCTTCTTCTTGTATTTTTTTTTTCCAGTACAACTTAGCATGCTGGAACAAATTTCTTAAAATTTTTAGTTTGTCTTGGTCTCTTTTAAAGACAACTTTTTTAAAATTGATGCCACAAAGCATTTTAAAATGTTTGTGATATTGCCCTTCTAGACTTTCATTACTTTAATTTATAATAAACAAGAGGCCCAGTGGACCTATATTCAGAAGTTGTTAAAAGGTTTAAAAGCACTTGACCCTTGTGATTTTTATTATTCAAGGACCTTCACTTAAACAAATGTGATAGCCCTATATCCTGGAATCCTACATTCAAAACAGAAACACCTTACGCCTCTTAGTAACTTAGGAGAAATAATTTAAAGGTTTTAATGCATTTAACCTTGTGACCTTGAATATGGGTTGGGGTTATTTAAGCCTGCTACTGGCCAAATATAATCAGCCTGAGCCTCTTTGTCATCTAGAAAGAGATTTCTAAAAACATGTATTTCAGAACATTTGACCTATGACCTTTAAAGTTGTCCAAGGTCATCTATTTAAATAAGTTTTAATAGACTTGTATCCTTTGATGTGGTCATTTACCTGGTTGAGCTGACTGATGTAGGTCTCCCCTGCCTGGACCCTCTCCTCCAGATGGTGGCATTCCTTCTGAGCCTCAATTAGCTGCCTGTCCAGGTCAGACAACTTCTGAACAAGTCCATCAGTTTCTTTCCCCATATCCTCCTGTAGCTGTGTAACAAATAGCTCAGGTCAGTAGAAATATCTTTTATGATCACATAATTATGTTTAAGGGGGTTGGTAGGTAGCTAGATAGATTGACAATTCAATGTTTGAAAAGTATAAGGGCACTCATTTTTTGCAGGACAGAAGGCAAAAGTCCGTTTAATTTCGGAAATTATCTATAATAAATAGAGAACATACTTTATTTTATTTTGCATACCATTCAACAATAAATTGTAAGAACAAAACAAGAAAGAGACCCAGGGGCCTTAATTAATAGCTTACAGGTTTGGTGTTTTAATTATATAAAATATGGTACCTGTACATACATTTCAAAAGAGTGCAATACACAAAAGCTGAGACCAAATAAAAGGTTGCTATAAGAGTGTATATAAAACTCTAATGAATCATGCCCTTCTACCCACTATTGAGCCAGGTGAGCTAATAAACAGCAGAGTTCAGTAATGGCCGTTACATGTACCTGTTCCAGGCGAGCCTTATCCTCTTCCATCAGTTTGAGTCGTTCTTCCAGTACAACAGACTTGGACCTGATGATCAGCATGTCTGTGTCGTTGTCTTCCTCTTCAACATAGTCATCTGCACTTGGTTTTTTAAACTGGAATGGTGTACTTGCTCCCCTGATCTGTCCAGAACTGGTCACATAGCAAAACTGGTAAAATTCTCCGTCATCATCAGGCATCTTATGAGCTGTAATTAAAATCAAATTACTAAAAGTTATGAGATGCTAAAACTGTTAGCAGTAGAAGATCAACTCTGGATAAATCATGATGTAAGTATAATCCATGTCAGACTTATAGTAATACACATACAGACAAAACACTACATACTTTTTGCCTTGATTGGTTAGAATGTATTAAACACTGATAAATTTCTATTTGTATTGTAATGAATTGTCATAAAATAAATTCATATCAGTTTAATTATGATCATAATAACACATTTTATGTATAAACTTTTTATAATTTCTTCTGTAGTAACATGAACTACAAAAGTCCTTTTCAAACAAAATTACCTACAAGAGTGGCTAACAGCAGGAAGAAGGAAAGTTTTCTCCCACAACCACTGTAGGTTTCCTCACTCCCACAACCACTGTAGGTTTCCTCACCAATGACTCATTGGATAAACCTGCTAGGAGTTGGTAAACATTTTTGGTGACCCACTAGTGGGTAACACCCTGGACATGATGTCATTGGTCAATCTTTGATTTATGACGTCACGTAACCTGTATTTCTCAATCCCTGACTTGCAAGGCTGATCTTAGATACATTTGATATACATATCCAAGATATGATAAAAAATTCATTTTCAATCAACGACCAATACATACTATCAAGATACCTGATCATATTGTTTATTTTTTAACTGAACACATGTACAACTCCTTATTTTTCAACATCCACAGAGCTCGAAAACCAGGAACCATGCCAAAGTGTTAGTAATGTCTAACTTGGCTACCTGGTGTGGGTGTGTTTAGCACATCTGGACATCTAGACCCAGAATGGCAATTGGGAACACCTATAAATGCAACACTAAAATATCTTGCTCTTCATTTACCTGGAAAGAGAACAGCACTATCGGCCTCTTTGCCAATCTCGTAGTTCTTTGATATAACTGCCCACTCGTAGTAGTGGTAGTCCTTTATACTCATCCAGCCAACCTTGTAGAGACCCACCCAGTCGTAACTTGTGGGCACCAGATCGGAGGTGATGGTGTATGCACACTGTATGTGAGCATCAGCTGGGTATGTTTCTGGAATGTTGTGGAAAACAACCATGGCAAACTCTGTACGGGACTGCTTCGCCTCCTCCTCACTCTTACTATCCATGGGCTCATTCTTTACTTCAGATTCCATGTTGGTTGTTCAGAACCTTCAAATATAATGAATCTGGTCAATATTGATAACATTGTTATTGGCTAAATTATATGGCAATAGCGAGGGCACTAGTAATTCATTGACCCCATTTGTTGAAAAAGAAAATATGTTACCTCCCCACCTTGTTTTAAACTACATTTTGATCATTGTTCTCCATCAGTTAATTTTGTCATACAGATGTTCTTCTACTACAGACCTGTGGGTAAAAACCACAAGTCTACACTTCAGGTGCTATTCCAGATGCAGTTCCAACTTTGTCAATAATGATTTATAAATATCCAGTAATATTATAATCCAATTTAAAAGTCACAACAAGTGATATATAGTAAAATACATAAATTTCTCAGAGTAATCAAAACTTTTATTAATACAGACTTACACTTCTTTTACAATTATTATTAGAACGGCACTGATAATACAAATGGCAACAAAGAATGACCTCAGTATATTATACATATTGATTAGAATATACATGTATGGCTGGTTCATTCAAGAAATACATCTAGTTCTGTCTTTATAACTTCTATTTTTTTTAATTTAAGGGCTAGCCATTATTTCTGAACAAACTTACACCAACTCATGATACTCAACACTAATTCCTTACAGTTTAAAGTGTGGGGGGGGGGTATTGGTATGTCACAGAAATATCCCTAAGTTGCGGACTACTTCTATGGGAAACAACTCAAAGTACTAAAGGAGAAGACTTATATAGGCTAAGCCTGTTGTCTCATTCAATTGTTCAATTGATTTTGTCCAATAAATTTGTTGAAATAAAAAAATCAATTAAAAGTACTAAAACCCACACTGTTAAAGTAATAGCGAACTGTGTCCTGTAATTCTAGATCTATTCTGAAATATTAACAAAACTGAGTGAACTCCACCAACCGATCAGGTGATCAATTTGGTCGGTGTTCCAACAGGCAACCTTCCTTTTTTTAGTAATAATACTTTTAGTGCATGCTACCATGATTTCCCTTAATTTAAAATACTATATAATAAAAATCTTCTAAAAGCAACTTGGAAGGATTGGTAAAAATATCATAGGCATACTAACAGAGTTGTGTAGTTCTGGTTCTGGTCAATAATAAGCAACGTCCTATTGGTAGTATCGTATACGTATGATTAGGTTGACCAATTCAAGTATGTGCGCAAAAGCATACGACACCTGACGGAAATGTATAAAAATAGAACTGACTATTCATAGAACTGACTTGCCCATCATAGCAAACAATCGTGAATCAATCTTTAACATTTTGTTTATTCCCATGAAGAATTAAATAAAAAATAGTTAAATATCAGCGTAGGTAATTACGGTCACTTATGAAGGAAAACGAACATAAACAAAAATCCCGATATTGGAAAATCTGACAGCTGACTTCGACCAACGTCAAAACAATGATCAACTTCCTGTTAACAAAATCACAATTTACACATTTGACAGTTCTTTTTCTTATATAATACCATCATAAATACATGAACCATCTTACTTTCAAGTGTAATAGAGCCTTACCTTCCGTATTGTCAAACAAATATTACAAATCTAACGGTTCTCTCTGTCTAGGTTGTCTTGAGTAGTCCGTACCACGAAAACAAGCCAAAATAGTTGGCGAACTTGATCCTGGCGTGCCGTGATGTACTGTACTACTGTTATGCTCATTCGAGCAGGCACGAATGGGAAAACTGATATTTTAAGTAATATCAAAATTTCATCGAAAGACGAGTAATTAAGCTATCAGAATGACTAAAAATTAAGAACAATAGTGAATTAACAACATATAATAAGAAAACAGAAATCATTAGTGTCGCGACGAGACTGCGTGGTGTCGCCATTGTTTAGAAGATTGTTTAACTTGTTATATGTAATTTGTTAGTGTGTTTCCTGTGGTAAACACTCAAAACACATTTCTTTATATAAAATTCATTTTAATTTAATGGAAGACTAAGAAGACTTAATTTGTTACTTAAAACTACTAAAATTGAAAGAAAATACCAAACATTTTGTTTAGGGCGAACAGGATTTCGGGCGAAACATCCCGGAACCCATGGTCCTTGTAACGTCAGAGTGGCACGTTTCATCTTCATCTATATAAACCTCCCTCCGTCAATATTGACGATTACGTATTTTTTGGAGTTTTGGGTTTGTGCTTAATAGTGCGTTGTTATGTACAGTGATTTTTTTTATAATTATTTGCTATAGGACCCAGCTAGCACCTTCTTTCCTGTTTCGACCAAAAGAAGCAAATTGACATGGCTATTTTAGACTACAGTAAAGTATGAACTATATACTTTATACAGTTCTTAACCAAAATAGGTTGAAGACAGGACGAAGACAAATAACTATTTAGGTAAAAAATTACATCGGAGGACGATTCTGCCGCTATGGCATGTTATATAAGATCAGATACGCATAGCACAGCGGCTACACAAGACAGCCTTGCGGGAAAGCGAGATTACTATGCTATTATCTTAGTGTCGCTTTGCGAGTCTTTTAAATCGGCGATGAATCTTGACCGATTTTGATTCATGTGTCGCGTTTTGCCCTTGTCACCGGGAACCGCCATGGCAGGCATACCAGCATCAAGCCCGCCCGATGTTATTTTGGTGTATGACGTATTACGTCTGTTACTTTGCAAGAGTGAGGCCTAACTATGCATCAGTCGAACTTTGCATAATCAGTCCCGTGCCTCACGCTTTCACAGAAGGCAATGGATATGTCTTTTCAACATGTATTTTTTTGTTGAAACAATTCTTTCGGAGCTTTGATGTGTTATTAATCAATTTATATGTAGAAAAAATGTGCATTTTTATTAGAATATCTAATGTCATTATGATTGAGGTTCGGTAATGCAACTTTCGATTCCTTGGTAATAGTACGATATTTCAAGAAGGTGCTGAAATGGGAAAAGCTGTCTGCATCATAGGCTCAGGAAACTGGTTTGTTAAATCATATTCGAAATATTGGAGCACCATTCAGTTTTTGACAGTTTACAGAACATTAGTACAAGCTAATTCAACAAGGAAATACAACTCGTTTTCTCTTATTTTCACTTCCGTGGCATGCACCGGGAATCCGGGATGTTAAGTCGGGTGAAGTTTGACTTTCTGAGGAAATAGCAGCAAATTAAGATGAATCAGTCTAGTCTTTAATCTTAGGTACCTGCACATAGTCGGTATGCAATCGATGACTTCATTTACAATGAACTATTTTCAATGTTCTGTCCATAACTTGCCCAGTGCCCAGTTCCTGTGCCTGTCATTTTTGATCCATCTATATATAGCTAGGTCATACCCGGCCTCCTCTGCCCCAGCCTCCTCTGACGACGCAATATATAAAAAAAAACTCATCATCAGAAAACTACGTTATCACAGCTAGAAGGTGTCATAAATCTTGTTAGCCATGGGTATATTTTGCAGTTTTTCTATACGTCTCCCTTCGCTTTTCTGTTATAAGACTCGTTAGTTCGAGAAGACCTTTGCTCGTGAAACCAGTACAGACTTAGATCTAATTCTATGGTAAAACATGAAAAAAAGTTTCCTTTTTTTTAATATTTAGAACCATTTCAACTGGTTGACGAACTGATATTCATAACTTATAATAGCCCCCGGATTTTATAAAATGAATATAATTATATTAGGCAATATAATAGTGCCAATATAGTAACAATAGTGGCAGATCCAGATGGTATTATGTATTTTCGCCATTTTCCTCAATTTTCCCCCACATGGACACCCCCCACCCCCCGGAAAAGGAAACCCCCCAGATAGGTCTCTGATCCACTACTGAACATCCTTGGGTAAACTGACCAAAAGCAAAACGACCTGAAGTGCGAAAAGGATTTAGGGCAACAATCCTGATCTTATGGGGAGGGGTTTACGAAGTTTACAAAATAATTTTGACTATTGTATCTGCTATATTCTTAATGACAAAACGATTTGCATTGGATTGCACTTATATTTAGTGAGAATATTAAGGCTCAAAGACCTAAAAGATGCTACATATTTTTGGTTTGTAGCATGCTGGGATTAGGGGCTATCAACTTTTTTTAAACTGAGTTTCTGTACCTTGATTTGTGCTGTGTCATAAACTTACCTAGAAAGAACTTCTTATGACCAATGCAAGAGAGCCATCAAGATGACGAACATTCATAGAAATCAGTGACCTGGACCAACTTTAAAGGCAACAAGGGTCAAATGTGTGAACACAACTTCAGATGAACAATTAGGAGTCCTAGGGTAATAGTATTTGGCTTGTAGCAGCTTGTGTGGAAGCTTTTTAAGTTTGGGATCCAAATGAATGACTGAGCCTGACAATCTTTGAAAGCATGAGTAAAAAAAGTTAAAATCTTCCAACAATGACTTGTTCGATGTAGAGCAATGAATTGTTCCAACAGGTTTCCATATTGTGTAATTATATTAAGTCTATTTAATCAATGTGACCTTGATCTACTTTTAATGTAGAGGTCACACTCACAGATGTGTGATGAGTAACAGGTGAATGATACAAGCCCATTGGACCTTTTTTCAAACCAATAAGTGGCGCAAAGCTGGGTTTAATCAGTAAACACCTTGTCCATTTCTGGTGCTTCCCCTTGGCTGAAAGCCTTCTGGGAATTTGAGGCCACATTCGATCTACAAAAAAAGAAAAAACGCTACGCTATCAGTGTTTATAAAAAAAATTCCAGTGAAACATCCGGAATTATTCACTCGATAAAAACTTTTTCTTCACGACAGTGAAGATATATACGAAATGTTTTATCTTCACATGAGAAGATACAACTGTAAGTATTGTCCAATCAGAACGTTACCTTCTATTCACTACGAAGATTTTCAATTTCCTGTTCAGACGAAGCGACTTTATAATGAGCGTTTGTTTCATGCACCTCTGCAGCGTAAATTATAGTAGTAACATAACTGCACAATTGCTATAATTTCTGTGTGGGAACCTTTCCAGATAATAGCACCAAACGGCAGAGTTGCGTTGAGTGGTCCATTCTGCTTTGTTGTCAAGTGTAAACGTGACATCATTAGAACCTGGCATCAAATACAATGCTACAAATTCCTGCAGTTTTCTGGTGTAGCAATATATGTGACGCTTTACTTTTTAAAAATATAATGAATAGATTATTTAATTATTTTTTTCCGTTGAATATCTTATCTATCACTCGTATTGATATACATTGTGGTATTCATCGTTAGATCTACATAATAAATCTATTACAATGGAATAGGCTAACAGGACAAATATCAACGAATGTGTAACAATATGAAATACTAAAAGACAATGAAATTAAAATGACGTTGACACTTAAACGTGGATTTAAAATTGTACATGTTCGTGCCGTTGGATAATTATTAGTGGCAATAGTGCAACATGTGAGGATATTGAGCATAAACAAAATATTCTGAACGATAAAATTAATATCATTAACAAAAATAATCAAAGAATAAATTGAAGTATGCAGGATTTGAGTTTGAATTTGACTTTTATCAAAATAAATTGAATTTGACTTTTATCAAAATATTTGCTGTCCAGCAGCTTTGCTGCAGTTTCTTGTTCATTTTATTTAAGTCGCAAGGTCTGTATTGATAAGCCATCGCGACTTTGATAACGAGTAATAATATTAAACAATTCAGCATTTCTAACTTTGAATAATGCTTGGTCTTTACAGGGGATCGGCCATTGCAAAAATTGTTGGTCACAATGTGCGAGACAGGAGAGAGCTATTTGATCCATTGGTACGGATGTATGTTTATGAGGAAATGGTTGATGGAGAAAAGTTAACCGAGGTCATAAACACAAGACATGAAAATGTGAAGTACTTACCGGGAGTGCAGCTTCCAGATAATGTGGTAGGTGTTTCATTGCCCATGTCATACGTATAGTGCAAGGTAACTACATGTGGTTGGTAATGATACAAATCAGTATTCAGGCTGTTATAATCATTGATGTTCTATGATGTTAAAAACTGATATACAATGTAACCATTCTCTTAAACTCAATTGTCAATACTTGGATGACTATACAGTTGTGTTCTTATAAGCTTTCGTTACTTAAAAGACCAAGTGAGCTTATGCAAGTGGTGCTGCCGCTGTTGTTAACCCATTTAGCTTACTTCAGGGGTGTAAAATGTTTTCAAATCTGTTTTGAGGTCACCTGAGACAAAGTCTCCAGTGACCTATTGCGATCGCCTTTTGTCCGTCGTCGTCCGTCGTCCGTAGTGCGTCCGTAAACAATTTACATTTTCAACTTCTTCTCCAAAACCCCTGAACCAATTTCAATGAAATTTTGCAGGAACCTTCCATGGACAAAGGTCAACAAAAGTGGTGGCCAGTTTAGTCCCAAGCCCCCAGGGGCCTGAGGGGCGGGGCAAAAAAGGGTCAAATTGACTGAAATTTCAAAAATCTTCTTCTCGAGACCCAGATATGGTAGAATCAAATACTCTTCATATATGGAAGGGTCATAAGGTGCTTTACCAAAATTGTGAATTTCTTGACCCTGAGGTCTCACGTTTACCCCTAGGGAGGGGGTAAACTTTACTATAGTTTATATAGGGAAATCACATTTTGGACCAACATTTGTTTAATTTCCATTGGAAGTAATTCAATTTGGGTCAGCATTATCAGTATT